AAAAATCACTTCACCACGCTAAATTCAGTCCATTTGCGAAATATTTGCTGGTAAAAATTTAAATTAAGTCCATTTGGATTAGTTTTGACGACGTTGCGTTGGGTGTACACACGAATTTGTGCATACATATATGCTTATACATATATATATATACCTTCGTCGGCAGTGTTGGGTGGCGAGTAGCACATAAACATATATATACATACATTTGCTTATCACTTTTCTGAAAAAATAAAAAAAATCATCAATTTTCTGAAAGAGATATCAATTTTAAATCGTAGTGTTTTCTTGACTGCTTCTGGGTTTTGGCTCATAGAGTTTAAACAAGCTACGTTGGTACTCTTATACTCTTTTCGACAATTTGGCAAAAGTTTCGCTGTGCATTTATACATATACGACAGTTTGGAATATACACGGTCTATTCCTATTTATAGTGAACATACTTCTTTCGAAAACTACAACAAATTTTAATTCGTAAAGAGTAATCTGAAGATCAATTACCGCAATGGAAACCTTTATTCGTTTGGCAGAATCTGTAATCGAATTTGAATCAGATTACAATAGCACACCAGCCACAGAGCAAAACAAACACGGCCTTGCAATACAGCAAGACGAACTAAAGGCTTTGTGGGAAAAGACCAAAGTAGCTTATGACGCGATCATAAATAAAGAAGGAATTTCTAAAGATGACATTAAAGCAATTAGACGGAAACATAAGGGCTCGTTTTCCAGCTATGTCAAATGCATGTCGGTAATGGCTAGTCAGTCTGAGACGCTTGTAAATGCAGAGAAGGATGTACAAGATCAGTCGGTTCGTGAACACAATATTCACCTTCCTCCGTGTGACACAGATGTGTTCAAGGGCGACTATCTGTCATGGCCATCGTTCCGTGACATGTTCACAGCCATATACATCCTAAACAAGCGTACGCTGGCTCTATGGGAACAAACCATAGATCACAAGAAAGATTTACCAAATTGGGAGGACATGGACAAGTTCCTATCGAATAGGTTTCAAACCTTGGAAACCATGTCAGGCATAAAGGGCACAAAGTCTGTAAAAGCGTCAAAGCCGCAAAACACCAGACATCCCTCAGAAGCCCCCACAAAAAGACTTGGCGCGTTCCAAACAAGCGTAACCAAGTACACATGTAAAATGTGCCAAACAAATGAGCACAAATTACGCCGCTGTTCCCATTTCCTAAAGCTAACGCCAACTGAAAGGATAGAGTTTTTAAAGAGCAACAATGCTTGTCTGAATTGTCTGAGTTCTGGACATACTGTGTCAAGATGCACAAGCCCTTTCAATTGCAGCACGTGTCACTCGCGACATCATACGCTCCTGCACACCCAGACAATTCCGCCAAAGGCAACACCGCCTCAAACGCCACCGAGCTCTGCCAAAGATGTTGCCTCAACCTCGCAACAAGCTGCAGCAAGGCGTAACTTCAATAAAACTAACTCCGGTAAAAGCAAAAACGTTAAGTCTAATTATGCAAATATGAACTCAGGTGTACTTTTAGGAACGGCTCGTGTAAATATACGTCTCAATGGTACAGATTTTTCAGCACGAGCACTCATTGATTCTGGTTCGGAGTGTTCCTTTATAACAGAACGACTCAAACGCAGAATCAACCTGCCATCTAAGAAGATGTATGCCAAAGTTTCAGGCATAACGAATTCAACCTCTGCTCAGGTCAAGGAGGCATGCAACATAGAACTACGGTCCCCTGTTGACCCACTGTTTAGTCTACATGCAACAGTGCTCGTGCTGACAAAATTAACTGGAAATCTTCCATCCTGCCATATCAGCGCTATGACTATGCAGGCATTTCCAGATCTGATTTTAGCAGATAAAAGGTTCTACGTTAACGAAGAAGTAGACCTAGTACTTGGCGGAGACATTTATCCCCAAATTATTTTGTGCGGCTTGAAGAAAAATGTTCTCAGTACACTTCTTGCCCAAGAAACCGTGTTCGGTTGGATTTTAACCGGTCGCACAGAAGCACCAAATCCAACAAACAACATAGTTTCTTATCATAGCGAAGTTGCCTTGGATCAACAACTAACAGCTTTCTGGGAACTAGAAGATATACCGAAAAACAAAAATTTAAACGAAGACGACAAGTATTGTGAAGAGCTTTATCGGAAAACGACTGAGAGAAACCCAGATGGAAAATATGTAGTCTCGCTACCATTTAGGCAGGAATTTCCAGCAAACATTTGCCTAGGCCCCTCTCTTAAAAGAGCATGCTCTCAGTTCTTCCGGAATGAGACACGGCTTACCAAGGATCCCGTCCTGCAAAAGGAGTATGATAGGGTACTAACAGAATATGAATCACTGGGACACATGTCCAGGATAAATGGTAGCATTTCAGCAGACTCTTCCGATAATTACTTTCTACCCCATCACGCTGTGATAAAGGCGGAAAGCACCTCTACAAAAGTTCGGGTCGTCTTTAATGCCTCAAGCCAGACGGCTAATGGTACAAGTTTAAATGACGTACTTTACCCAGGTCCAGTACTCCAAGCAGATCTTCCAATATTAATACTCCGCTGGAGATTATATCGGTACGTTTTTAATAGCGACATCGAGAAGATGTACCGCCAAATTTGGGTGAATAACAACCATACCAAATACCAGCGAATAGTTTATCGTACAAACCCGAACGAACCTGTAAGTCTATATGAATTAAAGACTGTCACTTTCGGGATTAATAGCGCACCTTACCTCGCGATAAGGACACTTCTGCAATTAGCCGACGATGTAGAGAATTCTTTCCCAATAGCATCTAACATACTACGAAAGTGCATGTATGTGGATGACGTGTTAGCTGGAGGACATAGCGTCGACTCGACCATTAAAGCAAGAGATGAAATCTCAGAAGTGTTACGATCTGCTGGTTTTCCACTACGGAAATGGACCTCAAATTGTCACGAAATTCTTAAGGGCATCCCAAAAACGGACCTTCTGAGCGAAGATTTCTTAGCATTCGAAGACACCAGCACGGTTAAGGCTCTGGGCATAAGGTGGAATGCTCATACGGATTTGTTTTATTTTATGGTCAGACCATTGGAGGAGCACGACACTATTACGAAAAGGGCGATGCTGTCAGCGATTGCCAAGCTTTTCGATCCACTGGGATGGCTCGCACCAATAGTCATCGTAGCCAAAATACTCATGCAAAGTATTTGGCTAGAAGGCACAGACTGGGATGAGACTGTGTCTGATACTATTTTAGAACGTTGGCAGCATTTTACGAGACATTACCACGAAATAGATAATATCAGAATATCTCGATGGGTATACTTCTCACCTGGAGACACCATAGAGATACATGGTTTCTGCGACGCATCAGAAAAAGCATATGCGGCTACGGCATATATGCGTGTCAAAAGAGATGACAAAATTTTGGTCAATCTACTTTTGGCAAAAACCAGAGTAGCCCCCGTCAAAACTATATCGCTACCACGACTGGAGCTTTGCGGAGCAGTACTGCTCGCAGAAATCATAGAATCTATAATCAACAACCTCAACCTAGGACCAGTGAAGACACATCTATGGACGGACTCGACCATCGTACTCGCATGGATACGAAAGCCGCCTTGTTCTTGGTCAACCTTCGTCGCCCACCGAATTACGAAAATCGTAGAAAAAGTAGGGGAGAAGGACTGGCTACACGTAGACTCGGCCTCAAATCCAGCCGATTTGGCTAGCAGAGGACTACCTGCGTCAGAATTGGTCAACAATTCTTTGTGGTGGCAGGGACCTTCTTGGCTGCAAGAAGACAACTCCAAGTGGCCCGCTCAAGGAACAGACTATCATACAGAAGTTGAAGAAAAAAAAGCACACACTTATGCGACAACAAGAGCAAATGATATCGATATTCTTGACCGTTTTTCCGATCTACCGAGAGCTTTGAGAGTTTTATCATATGTTATGAGATTCTATCGAAGAACTCATTCCAAAACAAAAGCTTCATTTCAGGAAAATTCTTGTTTAATTTCATCTAATGAAATTAAAACAACGGCAGAAATCCTGATAAAAATCTACCAGAAGCATTATTATGGTAAAGAATACGCAAACTTGAAGTCTAAAAAACCAATCGATGCGAAGAGTGAAATCCTTCCGCTTAATCCGTTCATCGATAAACATGACATCATCAGAGCCGGAGGTCGCCTTGGAGCATCCCAGGACTTAGCATACAATGAACGCCACCCGAGCATTATCCCGTATAACAGCAGGTTGTCCCGCCTTATTGTATCGTTTATTCACAAGGTCTCCTTGCATGGAGAGAATCAACTGATGCTACGCCTCATCCGTACCCAATACTGGATTCCCAAAGTCAAGAACTTGATCAGGTCCACTATCCATAATTGTAAGACATGCATTATCTTTAAAAAACGGTCACAAACTCAACTTATGGGAAC